TACACACATAATAGAGTTAAATGTAATAAGACGGATACCAGTGGATATTTTTAAAGGTCTAAATGCAAAGCATTTTTGCAACAACAAGAAGTTAAATGATAAATAAAATACCACAATTATCTATTTACATTCATTTATTGTTAAGTTTTAACAGAATAGCTCAAATTAGGTGTTATGCCACTTTGCAGCACTGCCTGTCCAACATTTGAAACTGTTTATACTCACGTCTCATATTGCTAATATTAATCAATATTTGGAGAAACAAGAAAAAAAAAATCCACAACCTTATATATATATTTTGTGAAAAATTACAGCTTTCTTGGTCATCTTTTACAGCCTTCGTGTGGTGGCTTTTTTGTTATTTTGCGTTTATTATTACTAGAATTATTTTAAATGTGTATCTGCAAGAATATTGATTCAAAACTCTTGAATGTTAGAGTGCAGCCACATTCGACCCCTTCTCTTACACACGTACAGCTTACTTACACACACACACACACACACACACACACACAAACAACAGCACTGTGAAGGATGAACGAAAGAGTTACCCCATGGCAGTCTTATCTGCAGAGCCATCCAGCTTTATCTGAGCACCTTATCTGTGCGAGCGTGTTCATCTGAAGGTCCTGTCTCGCCCTGCCTGCCACTGCACATCTGATCACATTTCCACATGCATAATTAAACTGGCACCGTACAAATGCACTCTGCAAATCCTACCAGCAGCCATCAGGACAAATATAAAGAGCGGAGAGATGCTCGAAACGTGGCATCAGGGAGAGAACAAACACTCCAAAATGGAGCCGAATGCCAAAAGTTTGATTACACCTTGCTTTTTGTTTTACATTTTTCAAGTAAGGTTTGATTTTTCACTCTTGCTTCGCAGTTAAGTAAGATAAAATATCTGCAAAGGTTTTGTTAGCTACGTATTAATCTTTTGGATATATTTAGCTTCAATTCTCAGCTTCTCGTTCTTCAAGGTGTCTTCCTTGGTAGGTTTTGATCTAGCAGCTTTATTAACTATTGTTATTGAAGATCTTTTACTCTGAATGTGGTTTAAACAGATGAAAGATCTGAGTGCTGATGAATGCTGAGTGCATCAAAATAAGGGGATAAAATAGGCAGCTTTAGGCTTTATTTTCAAAGTAAGCCTTGTTCCTTCAGTTTTGCCGCTTTTGAAACAGAAAAAAAAATTTAATATTGTTTTGTTTTGCAGAACAGCTAAAGAAACATGTATTAAAATCGTTTTAACAAGCTTGGTGTGTTTTTGACATGCAGTATACATGATTGGTGGTCACTCTGCATGCACTCTTATTGAAACATCTGTGCTGTTGTTCAGTCTGAATAAAGCATAGCCTGACCAGGAGACAATAATTTCTAAAGCTAGCTTTAAAACAGACCACAACAAAATTACACTATAACCTGTGTATTATCATTAATACCCATGCATGCCATCAGTAGACTACTCTAAATGGTGGCAATGATTCACCTTAGCAAAGAAGACATTATGAAGTGTATATGGAAGTGCATATAGTTTCATTCAGCCTCTAACACTGAGAAGAAGTGTGAGTAAAGAACTTTAGATGGCCAAACACTTAATGCTCTGCAATGCTAAGCCCATCAGTGACCTGAACATCATCTGCTAATTGCACCAAGACTAGTGGGATAAGAATGTGAGAGTGAGTGAGAGAGAAAGAGAGAGAGAGGGTGAGTTGAGCTAGAGGGACAGTCAAACAGGTGAAAGAGAGGGAAAAGAGAGAGAGAGAGAGAGAGAGAGAGAGGGCTCAGATGAAAGGGCTGTAACAGAGGAGAGAGAGGATTTTTCAATAATGCACAGAGCTCCAGGGACATCCAGACATGTGGGCCACAGGCTGACTCATAACCCACGCTAATGAAGCCATCGCTGGGGTAACGAAGTGAGACTGATGCCCTGGGATAGATGGAGGAATCAATGCTGAATGACTAGCTCACTGAAACCCCTAAGCTGCACTTCGGTCAATGAATATCTGAATGATTGACAGGGGGTGGAGTGGGTAATAAAAAACGAGATATTTTAGAGGGGCTGGCGCAGAGAAGAATGGTTGTTATGTGTTTTCTCTGACATTATCATCATATTTTAGGTCATGACACTGTCCAGCATCAAATAATTTAGAGTGTGTTACTAAGTTCTGAATATAACAATATGATTACACTGATATGACAAAAATACATCATGGTCTTTATAGATTAGTTCACAATACGCATCGCTGCACTCTCTTTTGCACACATAGTGCACAGAGTAACAAGTTGGATGTTATGGCATCATCAGTAGACCTGCAGATATTAGGTCATCAAATGAACTAATTTTGGAAAAAAATATTCTAGCTTTAAATCTTGATGATGAAATGTAAATGTAGAGTTATTGCTGAAGGCTACAGTCTGCTGATTAAATGACTTTGCTTAGCAGCAAAAGCACAAAACATTGAACAGTTATTTTCTTTACTGAAAGCAAATAAACCATCTTAAAACTAAAATTTCCTCAAAAAATATGTTTCATAGCAAATATCAGTAATGAAACCATGACACAATTTCTGTAATATGCTTAAGGTTGCGCTACACCTTGAAATATTGGTACTGGTGATTGGCTCATGTGCTCAGCCTTCGGTATTGTGCCTATCCACATCAAACCAATGGCAATATCTCACAGTACAGCCCTCTCTCTTGTGTATTATTGTGTAGATATAGCATTGACAAAACTGTCACTAAGACTTTGTGGATGGTCCTTCGGTCTGTTTGTGTCTTCATTCGTTTTCTCAGTGGGTTTTTTTTTGCTGTCTCTGACACTGACCTCAATTTGTTTGGACTGTAAGTGGCCGCAAGCGATGCTAACACATTTGACCCAGAGGTCGACTCTTCCTCATCTCCTCTGAGAGGGGCCAACAGTACTGAGAGAGAAACAGATGCTTTATGGTGCATATGCATTTGTGTGTGCGCAAGAAAGTGACCTGACTCAACACAACTTTTATAGACATTTCCAAGCTACAGTGAGGTCAAGTGAAAGTTAATCGTTGAAGGCGAGCCTTCCATTAAAATAAACTCCTGCTCTGAATCTCACCACACCAAAAAGGCGAGAAGGTCAACACAGACGCCATCAATATATTTAAACACCCATATGTGTTTTAATGACCAGCTGAATGACTGCCAGACAGAAGCAGATCCATAGCAAGCTAAAGCAGATGGTGTTTGACTGAATAAGTAGGAAGCTTCTGCTACAGCCAGTGAGAAACTCAATACTCTATTACATCCCACTGTAAGTCACTTACTAGTTAGGTTTCCACCACAATTCTGGGACCTTCTGAACAGCTAAAGAGAAGTAAATAGTTTCTGAATGAATTTCTGTTTTGAGTTCCCACTGCACTGCAGGAACTATGACCACTGTGAAGCTTGGCGATGACCAATCAGCAATATTAACCTTCTCCTCAGTAGTTTCAGCTCTGCAGAAAGTGCCTGCTCTGAGGTAGAAATTAAAAAGATTCCTGAAGTTATGGATGAGGAACTAAAATTAGACCTGGTTGTTATGATAAAAACATGCCTGAAAGTTCCTGAAAAGGTTCCAGCAGTGTTTATATGCCTAATATTTTCCTCCAGTCTTCTGTCTCAATTATATCATCAAATATCCTTTACCAACACGTCATGAACATGTTCTCACTTAGTGTTCTTAGTGCCTTACTGTGTGGATCTTTACGTGGAGGAGCCTGTGCTTCGAAACATACAGCTTTTCACAATAATGCACTACAGTGTGCTCATTCCCAATCCCCTAGTCTACTCCCTTGCGGACTTCACTGTGGACATTCCAGCCCCAGTTAACCCAGCAGGATGGTCTGTGAGGATAAAGAGAGATCTACTCTCTGAAACTTTCAGCAAAACCACATGGACGCTAACAGTGGACACTATGTTAACTGTATGTCTCTCCGCCTATTTCCTCATGGACCACTCTAGCCTCTATTAACACAGAATAAGGTTTGTTTCTCCTTGGTCACTATCACCTATTCCTCTAACATAGAGTCATCAACAGTAAGCAACAGTTCCTTTCTAAGCTCAACTGACATCTCCCTGATCATTCTGATTTCATTCCTGAGCCTTCTACCCCTCTGATCCTGTATTACTGCATATAGTATATGAGCGGTAGGTAATCAAACAGTCTCTCCTTCATCTGTTCTCATCCTTCTCCATCACCATCATATAGTGTCTTACTATGTGGAGCTCCAGGACTCCTCTCCAAAACATTCAGCTTTTCACAATGAAATCAGAAGTTCACAGTGTGTCAATTCCGAGCCTCATCATCAATTCCCTTGTGGACCACTGTGGCCCTCATTAAAGAGGTATTCCATCAGTTTTTCCAATATTCTGCATAATTAAATCAATAAAATATAAACAAAGCTTACCGAGTCAGAATTGTTCACAGCAGTGGTGACCAGAACCACACACTGTTTCACAATAATTTTGACATCAGCTTTTGGCCTAAAATGTGTTTTTACAATGCATTCATAGTGGAGAGGGCGCTGTAAGGTAAGATAGCGCTCAGAGAAAAATAAAAAACCTTTTTTTCAACATTTTCAACATTTCCATCATTGTCAACATGACCTATAAAAACTCACAAACAGGTGAAGGTGAAGTCAACAAATTTCTCTATGACCACTTTAAATCAGAACACTGTTTTACAAAACAGACTTTGTTTAAATGTAAAAAAAATAATTATCAGAAATTTAGAAAAAGCAACCCAGTAAGACTCTCCAGTCTCTCCTTGATTCCTATCATCTATTTACATTCCTTCTACTCAGTCATCACAATTATCACTTGTTCCTCTTCATGTCCATCTGCCATTTCCCTGATCTTGTCTTACCAAGTGGAGTTTCAGGTAGTTGCATAATCTCTTCTCCATCTAGCCACATCCTTTTCCATCACCCCCACATACTCACAAACTCTACTGCACAAAAAAAAGACATTCCCCCATGTCTTACTATGTGAAGCTCCAGGTAGTCTCCGAGTCCTTTGGCGCTCTCCACCCGCACCAGCACGGCCTCTTTCAGCTGCGTGCTGAAGCCCACCGCCAGCCGGTCTGCCCGCGTGCTCGGCCGGTCGTTGGGCGGCCAGGTGTAGGTGATGAGGGCTCCTCCGCGGCCGAAGATGTAGGTAGTCCCAGCTGGAGGAGGAAAGGACAGAGAGGGAAGAAAGAGAGAAAGTGAAAAAGAGAGAAAAAAGAAGGGGGGGGGGGTTGACAGAGACAGGAGAGGGAGAGAAAAGAGAGAGATTAATATGATTTTCATAAGACAACACTGGTAGAGGATTCTGAATGATGAAATCAAAGGTCATGGAGGCAGAAAATCAAAGGTCAGAGACATTTTCAGGTTTAATGAGATCAAACTGTGGGAGATAAACCGACTGAGGGGAAATAAAGATGTAATTTCAGACATATTTGCATAAAATTTAGTTTGTGTGCATTTGGTTATTTAATGCATATGTCGCTGCTGTCACATTAAAACCTTGTCATTCTATTTTTGTGTTTATTATTTTTTTCACCATTTGAAAAGGTCAGCTTCTCTTGCACTGTGTCAAAATTTTATGATGAGAAAATAGCAACTGGACCAATAGCAATGGCCCAATGTTGCTTAGAATATCTGCAATAAGTTATGATTTAGACAGTGTATCATGTAGACATGTGATATGTTGCTGTTCCATATTGAACACTGATTTCATTTAAAATGTGCAGGCTAACGTTTACTCATTTCAACCCAACATCCACCTCTAGCACCCCTTTCTTCAAGGACAGAGACCTACAAGAAAGAAAAAATAGGGAACAACTGCTATTCTACAGAGGCAGCCATGGCCACTATGGCAATTACAGAAACCACAGGGCTCTCTCTCTCTCGATCTCTTTTCAAGGCTATCTTTTCTCTCAGGGAATTTTCTGGAAAGAAACTCAATAGGTAAGTCTGACCATGAGGTGTGTGTGGGTGTAGCGTTTTTGTGTGTATGTGTGTGTGTGTATGTACAGGGATGTGCTAGTATGTAGGAATAATAATGGTGCAGCACTGAATAGTTGAGAGTAGCATGCATAGTAAGGAGGCTCACTACAGCTGCTCTTGCAAATGGAGTAATGGAAGGTGAAGTGTATTCACAGATGGGCAGAGAGAGACAGAGAAGCAGGCAGAGGTGCACAGAGAGGGCCAGACAAAGGGGCAGACAGATGCTTGACCAGCAGCACTATTTCACTGCCTGGATAGACACTTGTACAGTATGTGACTAGCAAACTCTTTCAATGTGTGCTTTCAGCATTAAGTGTGAGCAAAAAAGAGGAGGTGCATGAAAAAAACAGATCCACTTTCTATGAGAGACTGAATGATACACAGAAACAGAAATGGCACCACAGAATGATGCAAATTATGTAACACATTTACAGAAATGAGAGAAAAAGACGTCTTCAAATCTGGACCTGGAGTCCAGTTTCAGTCCTGAATTCTGCATTCACTGGTAGATTTGATAGTAGGCAGACATTCAGTTACATCAGCAGTTCTGTTAACTGTTACTGGTGAGCCCAGGTTCAGAAACTGGATTTGAAGAGCAGATGTGTAGATGCCATGCAGATGTATCTTGCAGAATTAGAAGGCTTCTGCAAGGAAGAATGGGTGAAAATCCTCCAAACAGGAGCTGAAATACTCTCAGCTGGTTACAAGAAGCATTTACATGCTGTGATTCTTGCCAAAGGGGGAGTTACTAAGCACTGCATAAAGTTTTGCATCGGGCCCTTTGTTATTTTGAAACCGTAAATGAAAGAAACAGAAAAGTAATCTTACTTAAAATATTAAAGAAATGTGTCATCTTTATGCCTTTTGGAAATCAGGTCATCTTTTACTTAACTATTCACAGAGATTAACAGAAATTATGACCAGGGGTGCCCAAAGTTTTGCATGTCACTGCAGATAGATAGATAGATAGATAGATAGACAGACAGAGTGACAGAATAATAGCACAACAGAATGATAGACAGAACGATAGCTGAACAGAAAGATAGACCCAACAATATATAGAATGACAGAACAATAAATAGCATGTTAGATGAAACGATAGTTACACATATCGATAGACAGATAGATACTAACACTGCAGAAAGCTGCAATACGTAAATGATGCCTCTAACCAATCACAATGTATTTTACTGATTGCTGTACAATCCTGACCAATCACCGTTCCAAAAACTTGGTTACATTTTGACAAAAGGTTTCATATAATCCAATAAAAGTCAATCATTTTATTCAAAAATAATGCAGGCCAATACTTAACCATGTCATACCTGTTTCACTGATGTACTTTGTTTACCGCAAGGTGTATTGCAACCGTAGTATGTAGCAATACAATCTCAATACTAGTATTAGAACCATTTCATGCAGCAATGACAGACAGATAGATGGATGGATAGACAGACAGACAGATACTTATGCCTACAGGTGAACTTCATTACAGAAGAAAATGATCTTGATGGATAACATGCAAATATGAGACTGACTAACATTAGTGGACTTGATTTAGTAATTGATATGAATTAATCAATAACACTGGGCTCATTATTCATTGCTGTGGAGAATGAGAGGTTAGACGATGAATCTAGTGAGAGACTGTTGGAGCTATAATTCAGTCAGTGTTTCTGCTGCTTTCAAAATACAACATGTAAATCCTCTAGCAGCTCAGCAATCATAACAACCACCTGACAATTCTATCCTCTCCACACTCAGTCAGTCCATTCATGGACCCTTCACTGTTTCTACCCCCTTTCCTCTCTCTTTCCTTCCCTATTTTCTCTTTTTCTCTTTTGCTCTTCTCTCACCTGCTCTTTTGCCTTCTCACTTTGCCTTTGTTTTACTCCCTGTTGCTTTCTCTCCCTCTTTCCCCTTTTCTCTCTTTTTCTCCCCCTCTCTATTTCCCCTTTTGTTTTTCCTTCTCCCTTTTCACTCTTTCTTTTCTTTTTTATTTTTCTATTCTCCATCTCTCTGTCTTCCCCTTTTTTCCCCATTTCTAGCTCTCTGTCTCTCTCTTTTCATTTTCTTCTCTCTCTCTCTCTCGGGGATAAGCTGTCGCTACTTTGTGTAATTTGGCTGCTGAATAATTATAACGAAAGAGGGATGAAAGTAGAGGACAGGCAAAACAGAGGGAACAGACAGAAGAGGAGTGTAGAAAACAGAACTGTTCTGAAAACAACAATCAAAAGTTGAGAGAACATTGAGTACCGTCCTCGCGGATGTGCTGCTTTACTGAGGGAAAGCAGAGAGAGGGAGGATCAGAAACAAAATGGCCACCAGACTGGTGAAGAGGACGTGTTGAGAAGCATTCCTCCATCTATCTCTCTCTCTCTCTCTTTCTCTCCCTCCCCCCTGCACTATCCTTCCAATCTAATTTTCTTTTCTACATAAATAGGATGCGTGACTAAAATTAAAAAAGGCCCAGGGCTGCTGGAGTACTGAGATGAACCGATGCAAATCAGAGACGCTTCTTACACACACACACACACACACACACACACACACACTTCAAATATAAATCCACACTGATATTCTGAGCACGCACACATCAACACACCTGCTGTGTTCATATGTGTTAACTATAATGAACTATAATGCCACAAAGTTAATCTAACTATTTAATGCTGAGACACTGCAGAATCTGAAAGACAGAAAATAAATCACTTCAATACTGGCTTCAGCCTTTAGATGAGATGCCACCCATTAGAGAGGTCACACAGTTCTTTATCACAGGAAAAAAAAAAAACAATGTGTGAAGATTTACAGTGCTAAATGCTTCTAAATAAATGTATGTGACCTCTAAATATAGCAAGGTTAACAGAGCACAGTCTAAGACAACACAAACAGCACATTAGCTGATTTACATGAGAACAGAGCATATAATGCTCAACTGAAAGAAACCTTATAATAAAAAAGTGTGTGTGTGTGTGTGTGTGTGTGTGTGTGTTTAGCTTTTTGTGAGGACTGGATGCATATTTTGACATTGGGCTGTTTAGCTTTTATTAGATAAAGAATGGGTTGAATGCATAACATGCCCGAAACATTTTCTTATCAAATCATTTGATAAATGTATATCACATCATTATACCACACATTCTTTATGGGAATATACTTTTAGTGCATCAAATTAAAATTCATTTCAGGCCTCTGTGCCTCTGAAAATCTAAAAATATCAGGCGGTATTACCGTCCAACCATATATGCTGATTAACCCCATTAAAATCCCAGGCTTATCATTACATACTAAGGCTTATTCAGTAACTACAGGGACTTCAATGCAAACTGGCTGAGCTATTCTAAGGTTATACCAGTGTGTAATAAAACTCTGGGCCTGTCAGTGGGCCCTGGCCATTTAAGGGGTCAACTATTAAAAAAGATGATCAAATACAATTCTAACTAAAATACTTTATTTTATGTTTGAAGCCTGTGTTGAAAAATAGGGCAGTTTTAAAACTAGTACTCAAGTACTAGTACTTTAGTACTCAACTCACTAAAAAATATTTGCCTGTTCTTCTGAAAATTACATTTTTTCAAATGCCATACAGTGCAACTGACAACTGAGGACTTTTATTCTGACAAATTTTAGGAAATTTGGACAATTTGGAAAACCTTATCTGTCAACAACCCTAATAATACTTTGCCGAGGGAAACTTCTAAGGTGTGTTACATCCCCTCATGTAATACACATACTATTGTGGTCATGGCTGAACAACACAACACAGGAGCTGAGAAACACTTGAGCAGGGCGAGAACAAGCAAGTGTGTGTTTGAGTGTTAGAGCAACACCTGTTTTCCCCAGACTGTTCCTAGAGAGGGGGGGGGGAGAGAGAGAGAGAGAGAGAGAGAGAGAGAGAGAAAACGACAGACAGAGAAAGAGTGAGTGAGAGTGAATAAGAAGAGGGAGAGCAACAAAGATATGAAAGAGAGAGAGAACCAGAGGTAGGTAGTAAGTAGTTCCATTTTAGGAAAAATCACCCTTAACTCGCATTATTGACATGAAAAAATGTTTATAAGTTAGTATTTTATCACCCAGGCCTGTTCTATTTACTCATTTTCATCTACTATCAATCTGTATTTCTCTAAAAAAGAAGGCTGGGACTGGTCTTATCATTTGAATTGTACTGTTTGAT